ACAGCTTGATGGCAGGTACATAACATTATTAGTCCTAAGTAAAAATCGGGTTTAAAATCTAAAGTGCAAAAGGCAATAAAAAACAGTCTATTTGCTAAATACAGAGAAACTGGAAGTAACTTAACAGTTGTCTAAAGAATCACAAAAATAATAAAACACTTCTGGCTCAAAGCAAATGACAACTGAAGTGAGATTATGCTCCTCTAACAGATATTTGTTTGCCTAGAGCTATTTACACTTCATTTAAGGCAGCTGGTGTCTGTTTGCAGGCATGCCTCATCTATATTCCTCTGTCACATGCACCATCTACGTTCCTGTAAAACCTCTGTCTATTCACAAACTGCAGTGTTAAATTTTAATGGCAAGCTTCCAGAAAATACAATGAGTTTCTACAAAAGAATGTAACTCTTCATCACTCAAATCTTAAGGCAGACTACAGTGATGGCAATTCATGGTTATCCCATGTGCATCAGCACTAGACCTATACAGATTGTCCAACAACTTATTTTCAGAGGCTGAACATAAGGCCTCTTCAGGGGAGACTTTGGGTAGACCAGAGCCGGCCAGCAACCTTGCCGGCAAGTTAACAATTTGGCAGTATCAAAAACATAACTGATGTATACAAATGTACCTTCTGAAAATTCATAGAAAGGTACTAGATTTGACGGTCTTTTGTCATGTAGCATAATATGTTTTTTTGGGGGAGGGAGGGAGGGAGAGGGGAGGGAGGGAAGGAAGGGAGGGAGGGAGGGAGGAGGAGGGCGGGAGGGAGGGAGTCTGTCTCTGGAAATGTCACGGCAATCTTTTGGCTACTTGGCAATATTGATATTTTTTCAAAATCAACCAAGAAGAGTAGTAACTTTTAAAAGGTTTTATTAAATTAACTTACCAAGATTCCTACTAATGTCGGTACTTCAAAAAATCAAACACAATGCCAACAAGGTCAGCTTGACTCAGAGTGATCCTCCAATGGGTTTTTGAAGCAGTAACCTCAAGACAATCTGTTTCCCTGACACTGAGCCTCAATCCACACTGAAAGGCTACAGTCTTTGACCCTCTGCAGCAAGGGCTTCAGGTCCTCCTCAGTTTCAGCAAGCAGGGTTGTGTCATTTGCATAACGCAGATTGTTGCTAGATCTACCACCAATCCTGACCCCACATTTCTCCTCATAGAGCCCAGCCTCCCAGTTAATCTGTTCTGCATACAGACTGAAAAGGTATGGAGACAGGACACATTCCTGGCATACGCCCTTCCCAATTTTGAACCTTGTGGTGTTTACCTTGCTCTGTTCTAACGACTGCCTCTTGGTCCAAGTATAGGTTTGGCATTAGCACGATCAAGTGTTCTGGGATTCCCATTATTCTCAGAGTCAACTACAGTTTGTTATGTGAAGACAAAGATTCTCACCACTGGAGCAACTGGCTGCATCAGGATGGATGGTGAAGAGATTGAGACTGTTCACCGCTTTAGTTTGTCTGGCTCCACAGTCAACACTCTTGACACCAGTAGCCAGGAAATTAAAAGACCTATTGCCATGGGAAAGTCTGCTGTTAGGGACCTTTCCAAAGTTCTGAAGAGCAATGGTGTCTCTCTGGAGACTAAGGTGCATGTGATACAGGCCATGGTCTTTGCAATCACTTGTTATGCATCAGAGAGTTGGACAATGACCAGGGAGGATAGAAGGAGAATTGATGCCTTTAAGCTATTGTACTGGAGAAGAATGATGAGGGTACCAAGGACCACTAGGAAAACAAATAGATTCAACCTGGAGCGGGTTAAACCAGGCGGCTGGCTCCTTGGAGGCAAGGATTCTGAGGCTTTGTTTAACATACTTTGGACATGTTGTAAGGAGGAACAGGTCCTTGGAGAGGGACATCATGCTTGGGAGGGCACAAGAGGGGAAGGCCGTCTATGAGGTGGACTGATTCTGTGACGGGGGTAATCGGGATGGTGTGTCGGAGACGGTGTGATTGGCACAGGACAGAGCAGTTTAGGGATGCTGTACATAGGGTCACTATGAGTCGCAAGCCACTCGACAGCACATAACAACCACCACCACCTCAAGAGAAGTTACAGACAGGAGTCTGCCCATCTTTGCCCTGCAGAGCCGGTAGGAGGATTTAACTTTTCGTTAACAGCACAGCATGTTACCCACCCAGTGCACCACCAGCGCTGCTCATGTAGGTAATTTAAGGTATTCACTTCCGAACAAATCAGTGCTTCTCACCCCAATACCACCCTGTCCCACTGTACCATATATTCCTTTCCCACGTCCAAAGTTAGCACAGACCTCACTGTTGGCTCTAGTGGTCTGGTTGTGAACCAAAAGGTGAGCTGTCTGAATTCACAATCAGTCTAGGGGAAAAGATGGGCAGTCTCTTCCTATTAATATTTACAGCCTTGTAAACCTGATGGTGGAGGGTTATCATTACAAGGCGGCAGTAAGTTTGGAGTTTCTGCCCTCCTAGACGGAAAATAAGCAAGCTTTTCTCTAATGAGGCAGATAATAAATATTTGCAGTAGGAGGCAATACTGTCTCTGTCACAACTGTTTACTGTAACAGGTGACAGCAGTCAGACAATGGGCCTGGCTTTATCCCAGCACACACACACACACCCCTCATTTTTATTTACAGGTGCAGAAATCTGAACTTTCACATGTCACCAAATAATCTTTTCCTCTTTATCCAATAATTTAAAAGGAACAACAGCATTCTTAGTTCCTGGAGTGAACAAAAATAGGGATGTAGTCTGCAGCAGGCTCCAGCCCTAAATCCTGAACAACATTTCTGAAATAGCACTTCTAATACTTTAAAGTCTAACAGTTGTTCCAAGGCCAGTGTGGAGAAACAAAAAGGTCACAGTGCTAATTAGCATAATAAAAGACCCATGTCTCCAAGTTTAGAAAGCTTAACTGCTATACTGGTCTGTTCCTTTTTTCTTAGATTAAATTTCAATAGTTTGAAAATTGTTGATTTAAATAATAATAGTCATCAGGGGAAACTCTGTAGTCACCTTCCTAAGTCAAAAAATGGCTTGAGTTTTAAAAATGCCCCAAATTCCTTACTAGAGAACATCTGATCAGAAACTTGAACTAATTCAACTACACTATCAGAAAAGACTATTCAAGCAACCAGAGAGCAAGAATAAAAGATCAAAGGTCAACAGGAAAAATATCTACAAGTGTGGTGATAAGAAAACTGACAAACTCTTTTAATACCTGAATAGCAGCTACCATTATGACAGCATCATTTCATACACCAGAGGCATGCCCAAAGATGGCCATATGTACACAAGCAAAATTACATTCATGATCCCACTCTAAATTACAGCTTCAAAAAATTTTTAAAGTGGTTTTCCTGTCAGCTTTTTATATTAATTTAAATTTAATTTAGTTTAAATGATCCAGTAATTTTTAGCAGACTTAATAAAACTCAATTGTTATGTGACTTGCAATGTCATGATATGATCAAACTTTCACAGTAGACGTCAAAAGGTACTCTAAACAGAGGACACACCAAAATATTGGAAATGGATTAATTTAAAGTAGCTTTCTTAAAGCATTCCAGTAATTCCAGTCAGTCTATTATCGTTATAGTTCACGGAATCAATTGAAATATGGTATAATTCAGTTAAATGCATTAAAAATACAGTAACACAACTGTAAGTTTTCAAAGGAAAACTTTGTTTAGCAAAGTCCTTCCGAAATGAAGGAAACAGTATAGCTTCTGACTGCTTTTACCATATACTTGAGATTTTTTTTTAGCACTGAAATATACTCAAGCCTGCAAACCTAACACTATTAATTCACTGACCTGAAGAAAATTTATTGACAGTAAACTACAGCAATTTTAAGTTATGTGCCGATTTCCACGATACTACTTCAATTTTTAACACTATTTTATTAAAAAGACAAGCTCTAGAAGTAATGTTAAGTATCAGCTCATTCTTAGCATTGTTTTCTTTTTTGTGCTTATAACACTCAATGATCCAGTTATGTGTGACCATAAAATAAAACTGCACGTGAATTTCTTTCAAGTTTCAGTCATGATCACTCTGAAATACCATATCCTTAAGTTAGAGTAAATACTTAATAGCAGAAATGGAAGCCTAGTTATCAAATTTTCCTACCCTCCTTAATTTGGAAATTAAAACCAGAACAAAAATAGAAAGTCAATACCAAATTAAAAGTAATAAAATACGGTGTATATTTTTGTTTTGCTTTGCTTTAAAATAAGAATTGTAAGATACTTAAATGAAGCTATGAAAATGTTCTGTCTACGAGTCGTATTATTTATTACCCAAGGCTCATCCGTGAAACCTTTACATGTCACATAAAAAGGAAACAGATTTACACTCCAGTCCACAAAAGCTTAAGTATCCTAGGGCTGCGCCCGAGCACACAAGGCTTTCTAAGCACAGATAAAAACCGGGCGCCCCCAAGCAGCCAAAGGCCATCTACCCGTGGTCACTCCAGGAAACGTTTACCCACGAAATGCGTAAGTGTCAAGTCTTCAGAACCCGGAGAATCTGTTCTTCTCAACGCCTAGGCTGTTTACTGAAGAGGAAAGCAAGCTTACAGTGGACGTACCGAGCCCCGCCGGCTCTATTGGGGTGGTTGGGGAGCGGACCCTGTCCGGGTGACCAGGCTTCTCACCGTGAAGAGCCTATCGGGGTGCCGACCCAGTCGGGGTGGTCGGGTCTCTCCGGGTTCACGGCCTAGCGGGGTCGACCGATCCTGTCGGGGCGCCGGCTGTAGGGCACTCTCATGGGCGGAGCGTCCTCTGTGCTGACCCTGATGGGAGCTGAGCTATGACTCACCGGGAGATGGTGACCACAGGCCTGCGCCTCACCGGGTGCCGTCCACCCCCGCCAGCACGAGCCCGATCCGCCCCGCGGACCGCCCGGCCACAGGAATAGGCCGTCGCTCCGGCCCCACGGGCTTTTGTGTCCGGGCGGCCGTAGGAGCCCCAGCGTACGCACTGCCCCGGCGGCACCTACCTGTGGTCAGACGGGAGGCCACGTCGCCGAATGGGGACGGCTCCATGCGGTGGTACTTCCGCGGCGAGGCGGCGGCGGCCGAGAACGAGGCGGCCGTGGCAGTAGCGGAGGCGGCAGCGGGAGAGGCGGCAGCCGAAGCGGGCGCCGACAATGGCGCACAGCGCCTCCGCTTCGGGGATGCCGGGCTCAGCAGCGGGTCGAAATCCAGAGTCCTTTTCAGAGTCGCTCCGCACGCCATGACCTGGGCAGCGGCGACGCCGGGTTCGGGTGGGGCCGGGGCGGCTAGAAGGTGGTCGGAGGCTCGGAGACCGACGGTGGCTCGCGGGGCGCCGCTGCCGCGGTAGGTAGGGCCCGGACAAGCCGGCGAGAACCAAGGGGAGGGGGCGGCGGCTCACGCCAGCCGCGTTGGGAGGGTCTTCGCCTCCTCGGACGCCTTTTTCCCGAGAGAAGCTTCGGCCGACCCCGGCGTTGGAGCGAGAGTGGCAGCGCGTCCCAGCCGAACTCCCTTCAGAAGTCGTTAACAGTCCAGTCAGGAATGAGGCTTGAAAGAGGTCCCCGTTTCCCTGACCAGAGTCCGTCTCCGGCGGGCGGTAGTCGATGCGGAGGGATTAGGGGGTGAGGCAGAAGGAGGAGCACGAACAGTCAGGTCCAGCCACTTCCCCCTCCGCTGTACGACTCTCACCCCACACCGGCCCCAATATGGCGTCAATAACAACGCCGCCGATTCAAATCCTGCGGCCTCAGGGCGCATGCGCTTAAAGGTGGCGCGCGCGCGCCCGCCCCCCTCCCCCCCGCCCCCCAGTGGAGTATTATGGGAGTTGTTGGGTTTTTTTTTTTTGTGGAAAAGACTCAATCTGAAAACCAGGGAAGTGCTTTAAAGGAAACTACGACTCCCATAATGCAGGGTGAGAGATCCGGAGTTCCGGGTTGGAATTTAAATCCCCTCCACACCTTGCAGATGGAAGGCTACAGTAAAATTTCTCACAATTGAAAAAAAAATTTAAAAAAAAAAAATTTCTCACAATTGGTATGTTAAGTAACGTCATGTAATATTGAAGTTGCTCAAGATTCCATTTTACTTAAAACCACAATCAACGTCTGTGGAAGCAGTCAGAAAAAGGAAACAACACATTGCACTGGGCAAATGTACCGCAAAAGATGTCTTAAAAGGAGAGGAGCGACCTGGGGGTGGGGGTGAGTGGGTGGGGAGAAAAGTGCAACAATGAATGAATGGAATTCCAAAATTTCTGTAGATGTTCATTGACATTAATAATAATAATAATAAAAAGTAATAAAATAAAAAAAGATACCTTAAAAAATCTCATTAACGTGTTAAAAGGCAAAGATAGCAACTTGAGGCCTAATATCCTTGATCTAAGCATAGTATTTTTAAATTGCCTCATATACATACAAAAACTGAAAAGACTGAAAAATAATTGATAAAAAGGAATTATAATATGGACTTAATAGTGTTGAATATACCACGTAGAATATACCACAAGAACAAACAAATCTGTTTTGAAGAAATACTACCTTAATGCGCCTTAGAGAAGAGGATAACAGCCTTTTACCATTTGCTTAGTAATGCAAGGGTCAAATCCTTAGAGAAATGCATCATGTTATGAGGTGGAACTAACTGAATGGCTCCTAATAACACATTTGAGTGTCCACCTTGGTGGTACAATGGTTAAGCGCTCCGCTCCTGATTAACATGTTGATGCTTTTAGCCCAAAAGAGAAAGATACAGCAATCTACTTGATGAAGATTTACAGCCTTGTAAATGCTGTGGGGGTAGTTCTACTCTGTCCTGTTGGGTCACTATGACTCAGAAGTCACTACATGGCAGTGGGTTCGTTTTTTATTTTAAACACTCATTGAGTGTAAAAGGAACTAAGCAAAAGTAAAGAGCAGAGGGGACGGAAAGAAAAATCTAGACTGAGTGTGAGAAAGGAAAGTGAATCAATAGAGAAAGCAGGTTCTGAAATGGAAAAAGAAATCTTAAAATTCAAGGCATAGTTGTTCTGAATAGTTTCAAAAACAAAACCTTTCACACATAAGGGCTAGGAAATACTAAGATTATGGAACCTACTTAGAACTCTTCAATCTATTTGCAGAGCAAGGTAATTTGTGAAGCTGGACTTTATGAGGAGGAGTGTGACATCAGGGTTGGAGGAAGATTCAACAACAATCTGCATGATGCAGATGACACAACCTTGCTTGCTGAAACTGAAGAGGATATAAGGTGTTAGCTGCTGAGGGTCAAGGACTGCAGTCATCAATATGAATTGAGACTCAACATCAAGAAAACAAAGATTCTCACCACTGGGACTATTAGGCAGCTTCATGGTGGACAGAGAAGAGATTGATACTGTTGATAACTTCAGTTCGCTTGGTTCCACAGTCAATATGCTTGGCACCAGCAGTCAAGAAATCAAAAGGTAAATTGCATTTGGAAAGTTGGCTATCAGGGACCTCTCTAGAATACTGACTAGCAGTTTGCAGACTAAGGTGTGCCTGATACAGACCATGGTCTTTGCAATTGCTTACTATGCATCCAAAAGCTGGACAATAACAGAATGATAGAAGAAGGATCAATGCCTTTGAGTTGTGGTGCTGGAGAAGAGTGTTGAACATACCACAGACTGCCAAGAGAAAAACATAGATCTGTCCTGAAGAGAGTGAAGCCAGTTTGCTCCCTGGAGGCAAGGATTTTGAAGCTCTGTCTCACATACTGTGGCATGTGGCCAGGAGGGACAAGTTCTTGGAGAGGGACATCATGCTTAGAAGGATGGAGGAACAGTGCAGGAGAGGAAGACCCAAGATGAGATGGATTGACTCAGCAACTGGAGCAATGTCTGTGAGAGATAATGAGATTGGTGCAGGATAGGGCAGCTTTCAAAGCTGGCACAACTTTGAAATCAACAGCAACAACAAATGTAGAACTGTGAGCTACAGTATTAGATTACATACTCCTTGACTGGACTCAATGCTTTTCACTTCCCAGATAGGTGCTTACATCTACTTATTAAATTCTGCAAAGCCAGATTTGCTTCTGTATCAATAGGATTTGAACAACATCAATAACCAATCTGTTCTGCTTTGAATAAACAACAAATGATGTGTGGTGATGGTAGTGGTTGTTCTTGTTATTATGGGCCATCAAATCTACTATGACTCATAATGACCCTACGAATAATAATTCTGGACTTTACCATATACTGAGCCTGTCTCACTGTCTCTGACACATCTAACCCCATTGCCACAGTCACTATGGCAATCCATTCAATCCACTATCTTCCTCTACTGTGCTAACAACCTTCATCTACCCTTCCAAGCATGATTCCTTCTACAAGGTCTGGTCCCTCCTGGCATCATGCCAAAAGTTTGTGAGCCGGAACTTCAAAATCCTTGCTTCAAAAGAGCAACCTGCTTTCACCCTCTTTAGGACAAACCTGTTTGTTCTCTTGGCAATCCATGGTATGTCCAGTACATCTCAAAGGCATTAATTCTCCTTTCATCCTTCATCATTGTCCAGCACTCAGATGCAGAACAAGCAATTACAAAGACCATGGCCTGGATCAGGTTCACCTCAGTCTCTAAACATTGCTCTTTACTCGCAGAGGTTCCTGACAGCAGGCTTTCCTAAAGAGACTCATCTTTTGATTTCGTAACTGCTAGTGTCAATAGTGTTGATTGTGGATCTGAGAAAAATGAAACTGTTAACCTCAATCTCTGTTGAACATCAGTGTAAATCCTATGGAAGAATATAAAGTAAGGAGAATAAACCTTCTAAATCAATGAAACCAAACACATTGCTGTCCAGTAAAATCCACCTCATTGCAATGCTGTATGTTACAGAGAAGTATTGTACCACAAGATTTGTTGTTTTTGTGGTGGTGGTGGTGTACCATCGAATTGGAACCAACCGCAAGTTTTCAGAGGCAGTAAATTGCACCAAAGGAGTTTGCCCGTCCTTCTCCAGTGGAGGAGCTGGTGGATCTGAACAATATGCCTTTGAGATTGCAGTGCACCTTCTCACAACTCAGTCACCAGTGTTGCCTTGAATTTTTTTCTGGTTGTATTTCTCTTAAGATTTGTTGTTGTTGTTGTTGTTAGGGGCCATCAACGACCACAAACCTATGAACGACTGACCTGAACACTCATATCTTGTGTCATTCTCACAATCACTGGCACAATCAAGCACATTGCTGCAGTAACCATGTCAGTCCACCCAGTAGCGGGTCTACCTACCTGGAGAATTATAACAAAAATGCTCTTTAAAGCAAGAATTGTTATGTTGTTAGGTGCCAACTCATAGCAACCCTGTGAACAATAGAGCTGAGTCCTGTCCAATCCTTTGCCATCCTCACAACCTCTGACATACTCAGGCCCATTCCTTCCTTTCTTTTTTTTTTTTTTTAATGCTTTTTAAAAAAAATACTGGTTTATTTACAAAGTTTGAATACATTGTTTTTCACGCCAGATATTTCCCATTTCCTTCACCACCCCACCCATCAAGTTGTGCAACCCTATGATTAAACATCCCCCTGCAAACCTCCCTTCCTGACGCCTATCCTCACTTTTCGGCTTCTACCCTCCTCCCCCTTGGTTCCTCATACTCATGTCCTTATGGGACTGAGTTAGTTCACTCAGCATAATATAAGCCCATTTTTGCAGTCACTGTGTCAATCTATCTGATTGAAGGTCCTCTCTTTCACTGACCATCCAACTTCCTAAGCATCATGTCCCTTTCTAAGTAATAACCTCTCCTAGCAATGTGACCAAACTATGTGAAACAAGCTTTGTTACCTTTGTCTCCAAGGAGCACTCAGCAGAGTGCACTTTGTCCAACACTTACCCATTTGTTCTTTGGGCATTCTGCCACGTATTCAGTCCTCTTCTCCAACACCACAACTCAAAGGCATCAATTCTTCTGTCATCTTTACTCATTGTCCAGTTATCAGATGTATAGCGAGTGACTAAAAAGACCTGAATCAGGTGCACCTTTGTCCTCAAACTGACATTGTTGCTCTTCAGAATTAGGAGAGGTCCCTGACTGCAGACTTTCCCAGTCCAATGTGACACATGATTTGCTGACTCCTGGTGTCAAGGATGTTGATTGTGGATCCAACTAAGATGAAGTTGTTGGCAGCTTCTATCTTTTCTCCATCTATCATCATATTGTCCAGTGATGAAAATTATTTTCTTGACGTTGAGATGCAATCCGTATTGAAGGCTGTAGTTTTTTATCTTCTGTAGCAAGCACTTCAAATTCTCTTCACTTTTCAGCAAGC